CATCATTCGCGTTCGATCTAACGTCTGCAAGGGGTTTAGATAAACAAGCCACATTGAAATTATGTAAACTAGTGCTGGATTGCCCTTAACGAGGATAGACTGACAAATGCATATTTGGCTTTGGGGTCTGATTATATCGCGAATCACAAGATGGTGATCAAATACATGTAGTCTGGGAGCTATGGCGGCAGGTGGTGACACATAAGCCTACGCATTGTTGATCCAATGTGACCTTTAGTGACCCATGTGAGCGTTTCATCAAGTTAGGGAGAAACTTGCTACCGTCTAGACATTGCCACAAGCGATTAAATCATGTAGGCCACATGCAGGGTCTGCCTCAAAGCTTACAATCATGTATTCCATACATGGTTTCTAATGGACATATTCTTGGTTTGGGTTTTGTCTTTTCACATTCAGTTTTCTGATTAAGGAGGAGACAGGTACACTTTTCTTTTAATCCACATCAGAAGGAAATCAGTTTCCAGCGATCACAACATTTAACATTGACTGACATTTTAACATTGACTGACATTATAACATTGACTTACAGTTTAGCAACATTATCTCGATAAGTAATTATAGGTTGTGAAAAATATTTTCCCGGGGCACAAAAGCAATTCCTATATGAACGCCGACATATTCAGCACATTCAGCTTGAATTTATTTTAAGCCCCAAAATAATACAAACAAATGTGATGTAATGATGTTAGAGACTACGTTGTCCATACTTCAATGATCAACGCCCACTATATATATCGGGGGCACGGCTTGCCCAGTCGTCCGAGGAGCCGTAATTCGCTGTGCATAGTTGCATTTCGTGGACACGCGAGAAAACATATGGTCGTTGGTTCGAATCCCGGTTCGCCCCGATTATGTTTTCAGGTTTGTCAGCACCATACCCGAATTCGCAAACGTCTGAGACCTGCATCACTTCGGGCTTTCCTCCCACATTAAACTGAGATTCCCATATAACCGGAATACTGTTCAGATCGGCGATAAACCCAACTGACTTACACTGTCTATATATCACAGAACTATGCGCGTAGGCCTTATGTGTGACAGTTTCACACTTTATCTGACTCTCTTAAGGTACTTACAAATTTACAGATATTATCAGGACAACTAACCGATGTCCGCAGGTACAATTTTATTGTATGTTACATTTCTTATGCCGAGGTTTCCAGCCTGTGAGAAATAATGTGCTGTTTTGCTCTGTTTTATTATGATAAAATAAAGCCTGTGACAAGTATCACGATTTATCTTCCCGTTCTTGCCTTATCAACGTCGGTTGACACCGATACTAATGGATCATATTTCATTCCAGAGGACTAACACAGCAAACTATTTAACCACTCTCCATAAGGTGCAAATATGGTATGTCTATTCAAGCCAAGTGAAGGAACTTAGATATGTCTTGTGGTGTATTGGAATCAAACTGTCCAATAAAACCTCATTTTACATTATAAAATCTCGACACCGTACTCTTATAGATTATATGCTATCAGATTGGCTTGATAATTGATCAGTGATTATGTTTGACAAAATACTATCAAAGTCACGCAATAAGACAAGGATGAAAGCGTATTATTTTATAAGAGAATGCTGTTTGAACGGTTATTTTTGTGTGTTCAGGCATTGAATGGTTGGCGAACTGATAGGCTGATAGAATTTGTATTTGCTACTTAAATCTTGAAACACTGTCTGAACATTTCTGAGCACCTCATCACACATAATCTTTGGTACAGGTGGGAGAGAAAACGTTTTCATTTCAATTGTGTACTACAATGTTTTCATGGCTTACAAGATGCAGTATGTACACGAATTGTGCAGGCTGATGCTTGTGTCTGATATATTTGTTGCTACACGTACATGCACTTGTCACGAAACTGCCTCAGATGTTCAGAGCTATCCGGTTCATTTTTTTCTGTTGACATAAACTATCAATGTGGATGAGAATGTTAGTTGGTGTGAGGCCATGGTGTCATATCCACTGTGGAGATCAGTCTGGCGCCATTATTGAACAAATGGAGGCGTGGAGGCGGCAATGTCAAGTCTTGGGTTTAGCTTCTTCCATCAATAGGTTCCTGACAATATGTTTGATTGATGGGTTCCGCACACGCATTTACTCTGCAAATATGAGACAAGAACATGTACAAATACTTGTGTATGGATCTGAAATAAGGGGTTATCATCATGATAAACTATTTAGAAAAGTCCATGTACAGTTTCTCAGAAAATTATTACCGGCAAGGAAAAGCACATATTTAACAATGCTCTATGAACCCCACTTTGTCTTGATGTTAAGTTTAGAATGTTAAATCGCTGGTCGAAGCTTATGTCAAACTATCACTTGTATTGTATTCAGTCTTCTACAGCGACTCAAATGTTAATTAACGAACTTATAAATGGTTGTCTTTCATTGAAAATATTCCGGATGAATGTTTGGAGATCATAGAGTTTTATATCATCTTCCTGGTTGAAATAATATGTCTCCAAAACTCTTTCTGGTACATACTAGCAATCTTGGAATGCGGATATTTCAAATTCTAGTAAATGCTCAAATATCGCATTTTTAAAATCGACATTAAAAACATATTTGATTAACATTCAATCCCCCTTATCCTTTAGATTACTATTCTCTAGGGCATCTTGTCCCCGCCTGCCAATAGAAACTGAACGATGGAATAGAATTCCGTTGAATGAACGTTTATACAAACTGTGTGTGTGATGATTATGTCATGATGGTGAATTTCACTATATTTTCAAATGTAAAAATTTCAATGAACAAAGCGAAATGTAGATTCAAAACCTGAAACAAGAACAAATATGTAACAACTCCAGCAAATATTTAATAGCCATTATATATCTAGATCTGTTCTAATGAAACTACATTTATGTAAATTTATTAACATTATCATGAAAATTGTAAAATATCCCAGTTTACTTCTGTCAGCCGCCAAGTAAAATACTGTTTGTACCTCATGTGCCGATACACTGAACTTGAGAGTCCAACAATCGAGTGACCCTGATCTTGATAGGAATTGTTATGTTTGTACACCACTATCCGTTGGGCCAAACTCATCGAAAACTTCCATTCCTTGATTCATTGGTCATATGTCAAAAAACATGCTGACATCTCTACCTTCAAAGTTTCAGGACAATGGTCAAAAATGAAAACAAATGTCATCTGAAGTTTACTGAGAAAACAGTATGTAAAATGCTGCACTTCCTCATATATAGGTTGGGCTAGGATATTTAGGCAAGAACCTACACCAATTGCACTCGGTCAGACAACGTGGCCATGTAATTATGTGCTAGCCCCTACTGGTAGTGTTCTTTCTTACCTCAGCGGCATGCATTGTTTCGCATATAATACTTTTCCAGATCACCATTAAATTGTCGACAGCCGTGTGATTAAAGGCAACCATTCGCTCATTTCTTTAACAAAACCGGAGATATTGAAAAAGAGCACATATTGAATATGTACATGTATATACCTCCTGTGCAGATTTTTTGTGGAATATGTGCCATTATTTAGGTGACATTAATCTTTTTAAAGTAACTTGTCACGAATACTATATCTGTATTTGTGGATGTGCAATGTTGTTTCACAATGAACACAGAACATCGAGTTCTCGATAATGAAATAACTCGAAATAGATGCACCTTTTAGTTACTTTAGTTAGCATATGAAGGGATATACGACCATACATGTATGCCCAGCAAACAAAATAACTTCCTTTTGGACTTCATCTCTAGAACAGTTTCAAGATTTATTTCGTAAACGATGCGACAGAAATACAAAGCCCTTTCTTATTTATTCCGCAGACCATCTGGTCGAGGGCAAGTTTTTTATGTACAATAGAATATTGTATTTCGATACTCAAGTAACCAACGTTAAAAATAACAATAATTGTTAAGTGAGGCAGAATTTGTAAAAGAATATATGCATATACAGAGTGGTTTCATGTTTCTAACAGATAAAACGATAAGCCATCATAAACAGGGAGTTAACAATGGCTGTAAAGTGATAAATCAAGGAACGATTCATGTTCATAAAGCTCGCAAAATGCTGACAACCACATTATTATTATTACTTAAGTGTCTTACAATACACTAAATGAAAGGAGTGAGTGAGTGAGTGAGTGAGTGAGTATGGTTTTACGCCGCTTTTAGCAATATTCCAGCAATATCACGGCGGGGGACACCAGAAATGGGCGTCACACATTGTAAAATGAAAGGATATACATGGACAAGTAGTATAAGAGTAATAAGATATGGTTACTCTGATGTTTGCTCAAGACTCGTAAACTGGTAACTGTAGCACATAAAAGGGTATTTGCGAATTAAAACTATTCTGTAGCAAATCGCAACAAATCACGGAGGAAAATGACTTTCAGATTGTGTATGCACTTTTTATAAATACCAGATCGGTGACTTGGTCTGAAAGAGAACTTATTACAGCCAACAGACATCTTACTGTAACACGCAAGTATTTATAGGCTCTTTAATCGTCTTTCTGATTAAAATTTACCTGGGGTTCTGGGATTTGTTTATGTCGTGCGGTACAAGTATGTCGTGTGATTTCACAAACATTGTTAACTATTTTAAGTGTCATACCATGTGTACGATAGGTGACATGTAAACGAGCAAAGTGTATTAATTTTCAATGGAGAGGACGTCGCCCAAAGACGAAACAGAAATATGGCATTACTGTATTCATAAAATCGTTTTCTTTTCAAATATATTGCTGTCGTGGAGCAGAGGGTACCATTAATTTCAACATCTAGGAGTGTAACTGTTAATTATTGCTGTAAGTCTTGTGTGCAAGATTGTGCGAGGTCTTGTGGTTCGAGTGTGGCAGGAATAACGGGCGATGAGAAACAAAAATACAGAACACGAACCGCAACGTTCCGTCTTGTAAGCATATGAATGACGATATGAAGAACTTTTGAAGACATTTTATTGCAGAAAGGACATGTATATAGTGACCTAACGAAATACAGTACCGACGTTTTGGGATATTCAAAGCATTTATTAAAAAGTCTGTTTTAATGAATATTTGCAGCCATATATGAAGCAACATAGCATCATCACTTGTCCTTCTCATGGCACTTCTCATCCATACAGTTGGGTAACTACTGATGATGTCAATGTGTCCTTGAATAAACATATGATATATACGTACTAAGGTAATAAATGCACTGTTGCTTCAATTGAAAGCTAGCTTATCTGTAGAATCAAACGCGCCATTCTACCATGACAAAACTAAACATGAATATATTGCGTGACGCGGCATGTGGGTTCTCTATATGAATGAAAGAATAATAGGCTTGAAACAAAGTATGGCGCTGTAAATACTCAGACATAAGAAAGTGATCGGTTTTAAAGCAATTATAATTTACTTGCAAATATGCCAGACATTCAAAGTATGCAGCAACGATGATTGAAAAAGATCTTTTCTATTCATATTCTATTAATTATTCCGCGGCGATACGGTCTTCTGACTCTGATTAGTCTCTGAGTAACCAATCAGAATCAAACAATATCCAAAATAATGGTAAAATAATGGTAAAACATTGATTTAATAGGTATGGTTAGACTATTGCCTTCTCTGAGGGGAGGAGATGAAGATATGACATAAGGCAACAGCGAGAATCGTATATGGACATGTAACGACATAGAATGTGTTCGTTTTATCATGAATATGTGATAATTCATATGTACACTTGGCTGAATATTGCTGAATCCCTGCATGGTGTTAGGTGACCAGCCATATGTTTCTGTTAAAAAAATATTTGGGACAAATGTGATATTAATATAGTTCTCCTTAAATATCTGACTGCATTAACCGGGATCGCATGATGGCCCCTCTTGACATAGAATCAAGATAGATTCTCTGAGGATCTGCCTCGTTTACTGAATGCTTCCTGTTACAAGCATCCTTCATTTTGTTGAAACCAGATCTTAACAATTCTCTAGTTCTTCGACGGAAACTTCCCGAGAAAACCAAATAAACAAAACATTTGATTCCAAAGTTTAGGATATAGAATACATAAAATAGATGATTCCATTTAGCTAATGTAGGATTTCTCACACCGTTTAATGTCATTGCTGTTCGCAGAATCATTACAGGGAAATTTCCGAGCACTGTCAAAATGATGACAGGAAATAGAATGTTGGTAACGCGGACTGATGATTGTGAAGACGGTACTCTGCTCCCATGTGATCCTGTCCAGAGTTCAACCGAAGCGGATATCCGGTAGTATTCGCAACCTCTTATGGCAATCAATATTGTTAGTAAAATAATGACACTATAGGGCAATATTGCGACCACGAAAGTATCAATTTTGCTCAAATTATGAAAATGAAATCGTAATTCCTTCCAAGGCATGCAGCGTAGCACATTTTGAAATTTATCTGGTCCAAAGAAATATACAACGTATGAATAACAGGCCACAGCGATGACCGACATGAAAAACATGACGAGCTTTGCTCGAAAAGGAGTACACATGGATGATTTTTTCAAAGGCCAATACACACCAATGAACTTCTCCACAACCATAGCAGCCAGGTACCATATCGACAGGAAAGTGAAAACGTAATTCAAGAAAGTCATGAATTGGCACAGTCCGTCTTGGACGATGATAGGCACTCTGTAATATCCGTATAAAGGTGTGAGGAAAAACGTCCACAGGAACCCAGTGTCCGTCACAGTCATTGCAGCCAGGTATTGGATAGACGAAACTTTCTTCAGGCGGGTGCGTGTAAATACCAGATAAGCCAAGATGTTCCCAAGAGATCCAACTGACAATATGACAGGATAGCAGTAGAAGCTGAATTTGTAAATTCCAATAATCATTGGATCAGGTTGGTACATCCTCCTTGGGATGTACAGTCTCCTGTTCGAAGTATTTTGGAAATTATAATTGATCACATTTCCTGTAAAATTGTAATCAGTATATTGATTCTCGACATCCATATCCATGGCTTCATCGGCCATCGCAGTCATTCTGGTAGAGTGGTAATGAGCAGACCTTGCAGTGTGGTACCATATCATTCATCCGTCTGCAAAGAAGAAAGATCGCAGAATGTTATACAGTAATAGGTTTGAAATTCATTGAACTGATATGAAATCATGTCAGATTCTATATGAAAGAAGTACGGCATAATACATATTCAACGTCTACATTTTATGATATTCATTTATTCAAAGTCGGTGAGAAGCAATGCTTTCGAAAGAAAGTCTCTCGCGGTTTTTATCTTACTTTTGTTGATTTATGACTCCCGTTTTAGTTGAGTGAACAACGCCTACTACATTTAAGCAATCCCCAATAACAATCAATGTCCGAGCATCAGTAATTATTCCGAAGAGTAACGCCAAATGCGCTAGAGGCCATCAAGCAGGTACCATAAGCACAGACGTTGCTGTTTATTCATTAACGTTAGCCTTAAAGTGCAAGTATCACGAAAAATAGCAATCGGTTTTTCTAACATCATAATGTAGCCAGCATCATGTACAATACGATGGCAGAAAAAAAAGTGTGTAAACGTAAACTTAGCGTTGGTGCACTTAATTAAAAGTACGTTTTTTGATACCTGTATTTGTAACAACCCAAACGAATCTTAAAAGCGCTAACGAGGAGGCGTGGCTTAATTTGCATGCAAGCTGATTGGGTATTACCACCAGGCGGGTACAGAATGCGCGATCGTTTCATAAGTTGTGGGGAGTCCTGTGTTGTATATATAATACCGGTATGTATTCCATGTAAGTCAACAGTATGGCTAGTGTGGGCGTGGTCAAGTAATCTTGGTTTAACGTGAATTATATGATTTTAAAATTGTAAGATATTTTCCTTTTCAATGATAGGTGCGCGGGTTCTATTGTAGTCTTTGATAGGCATTTAAAAGATGGAAGAACATGAATACATGACACTTTTTATGAATAATAACTTTTTTATTTTATTGTTTGTCACGACGTTTGAACAGAACTACTTCTTACATTCACATCCCATGATAACTCGAAAACTATTGTCACTGTCAAAGTTGTGATCAGGGTACCGCAAAAAGGAATGAAGTATTTTTTTAGTACGATCGATACTTCATCATTTATACACAGATCAGCGAACACAGATATTTTAAACACAGAAAAGCCTCACAACAAAATAAAATAAAGTACCGAAACACGAACATAACCGCAATTGTACAAATAGTATATTTGGCACATTGTTTTCTCACCGAATAGTGAATTCAAATGGTGATGTAAATGGCGTTTGTCACGTTTCCGTTGTGTAATGAAAGAGGAGTATATTTCAATCCTTTACTCCAACTCATACGAACGAACGTACAGTGTTCAAATGACCATTGCTTACTTGTCTAATAGTTAAAAAAGGTGAAGAAAGGGTTTGCTGTGCCGAGAACGTCTGCAGCCGACCATGACTGTGAACGGAGGCTTGCCTGCTAGAGTGCGAAGGGAGGGCGGGCTTGTCATGCGATTAAGCGAGTAATTTTGGAGGTAATTTCCTCCAAGACCTTATATGGAGCCTCTGTATGTAAAGGCTCCGCCTCCGCTGTATTTTCGTTTCAGCCTTTGAAATTGATAGACAGGATAAAAGTGCAAACGGACCTTATTTGAGCGCCGCTTTCGATGTTTTGAATACGATATTTGCATATATATACGATATTACAATGTATCCAAATGTTATTCATTCCTATGAGACTTGCACTTTAGGAGATTAGACGTATTTCAGATTTACGTATCCAGTAAAGAATATCATAAAATAAAATATTCGCGAAGGAGGACCGTCTTATACATATAGTATTTGATATCGGGGCGACATGCACGTTTATATCCGGTATGTCTAAGTGCAAAGTAAATGAACACCAGTCAGCCTCAAGGAAATGTGGATCATCTGGAAAAAACATACGTTAGTTTCAAAGACACTGCGAATCAATACCACCAGCATAGCTGCAGGGTTCCACGCCGCACGCAACAATAATCCAGCTGGACCGAGTCTGGACAAAACAATCAAATGAGCATGGATCCACGCAAATTCAGCGAGTCTGACCACCCGATAACAAGCATAAGAGGCCTTTACTGCAAGCATGGGTTGCTGAAGACCTATTCTACCCCGGATCTTCTCAGGCACTTGTAAAGGATACCTGTAAAATGGACCTCTATTAGTTTGGGTCAAGTGGATTACCCTTATGTTTAATTATTGTTTTTTTAATTATTTTATTTAAGCATCTTTTATTGTGACTTTTCGTTATAATACCTGTTAACTAGGACTGAGGCAGACAATACCAGACAACAAGATAATCCTTACAAATGGGTAATATTATTCCAATGCTATCAATATAACATATGTATTCCTTTTCAACATAGTCTAAACCAGGGGACTTTTGCGACTTGTAGTATTTAATCTATTGTCATAGTACTAGTTGTCAAGTTTCTTTAAATAATGAAAAAATATTTTTTATACATTTTATTTTGCTCAGTTTGCGTATTAAAGTGTTTCCAGACTTTATATGGCGAATGCCTTTTTTTCTTTTTTGAAAAAAGTTATTTAAGTGTTTTTTTAATAAATTTCAAATAATTGTGTCTGCGGTTTGATATGCCTTCGACAAGAGATAAACACGTTGGTGACATTAGAATGGAATCAATAAAGCTTTTATCCTAGCAGGTTGTTAATTTACCAATCAACATAACCTTGCCTAATCTACTGTTAAATATCATCACATTTATATCTTTACAAATATCAACTAACTTCAGGCATAAATTGTTATCTTTATCAGTGACTTAAGAATCTCTCACAAGTATGAGATTAAGGTGACATTTTCACTTTCAGACATTGCTCTCATTTAATATGGATCGTTCAAATATAGTGAAATGAATTTCAGGTTTTATATACGATAACTGGTGATAGGCTTTTAATGCAACATATATGTGCATGTACACGTCTTGATCAATTTCAAATGGTCATGTCACAAGAACGGACGAAGGACAATGATACTATTGATTTGGAAGATTTTTTGCCTTTCCTTCATTGAACCACTTGGATTGCACAAAGTTAGAACAAGATTATACTCTGTGTCGTCGAAAGAAATCAAACGACTCCAGTAGTTTTTACTGATGGATTTGTCTACAAACAACAAGAGACCACTTTATCGACTGGAGAGTATAGTTCTTTATATTGCTTTGAAACGAATGGTCAAACCAGAAACAGGCTACACTACAACATACCCCCCCCCCCCCCCCTCCCCTGAAGTTCCTGAAATTGAACTGCAATCAATGGAATTAATACCTTTAATGTAAGTAACATTCTCAGTCAATAATTAGTTTCCCAAAACGTCTCTATTTTCATTTTTCAGGACCCACTAACATTTCTATTTTTCAACACGAAACGAATTTCACCTAAATTGTGCAATTATAGGAACGTGTTGCAGAACCTGGACTCCGGATGTCCGTTTCACTGCTTGTAGCTGCAAAGGCTCATCATACTGCTATCAACCAGCTTTTCACATAACCACAGGCGTCTTGAGTGTTTTCGGTCAGTGTGTTATGTAATTTGTAGAATGTCTGTTATTCATATATGTACGAAATTATCGTGGGCAGCCTTCATCCAATTGGGGGCGGTCGGGAAGCCTAGTGGTTAAAGTTTTCGCTCGTCACGCCGAAGACCCGGGTTCGATTCCCGACATGGGTACAATGTGTAACGCCCACTTCTGGTGTCCCCCGCCGTCATATTGCTGGAATATTGCTAAAAGCGGCGTAAAAGCATACTCACTTACTCACTCACTCACTTCATCCAATTGGATTTGAAACCATTATGGATGACGTGCAGCATGTGCCAAAATTAAGACGAAAAAGAACATAAATCTGTTGAACGTCGTTCAGGGTGGGTTAAGTCATGGAGATTATCACGCGAGTGTGTTAGGGGTGGTAACTATCCTGTGTTAGGAATGAACATTGTATTTAGCGAGCCTTGGTGAACTAAATATATAGTGTTTATTCGTAATACAGGATATTTACCATCCCCAAGTGCACAAGCGTGATAACCTCTTTACCATATAATGTCATTCTTTCATTTTGTGATCGCAAAATCTCTTCTTATGTCTCACAAACATTACCTAAACATTGGAAGTTTTCCAAGAATGTGCGCTTTAATATATATTACGTCAGAAGGTCAGTGATGTGTCAATCGGACAATGACAACAATCAATATAGTTCCAACTGAAACCTGTTTCTTAGACAGTGGCGTAACTACATATAGGCAAAACAACAATTGCCTACACATTTTCTTCTACTAGCCTTTTGTGACAATCCATCGCTCTGTCCGCTAGACTCTAGTCTACGAGACGTCACGTCTGCCTGTCCTGTCATAACGTTGCGAACTGCAGTCAGATGCACACACAGCTACAAAACGAAACAACGTTACAATTCCGACAAATTTCGAACAAATCAAACTGTTTTAATTTTGGGAAACGGTTCCAAGCCGCAAAGGTCTGCAAGCACAGACATGGAACCTGATCTAGCTAGCCTAGTGTCCTCGCCATATTGTTTCGAAATTTATATCTACAAAGATGCCAAAACTTGTATAATGCCTAAGCTACGTCGCCCATTATAAACCCGTTTATGATAAAGTGCGTTAATAGCATTCAAATGGTTTTATGGTGGACACGTGGAGGCCAAGTCCAAATTTGACGCACCAATGACAAGAAATGATGTCCTATCCAATTTTCATTTTTGAATTGCACAATGTGCTTCCATGTTTTATCTCAGATGAACAGTTGATTTGCCTGTGCATGTGTTTGTGGGGTAGGATACCCCCACCTTTTCGTAGCCACCTGTATCAACACAATGTGACAGCGATTCATAAATACCTGTTCACATCAGTTTAGGATACATTTTATGATAGGCGTTTACCGATGACAGTGGTTAATGGTATTTTTGTAGCGTTCCCATCAGCAATAGTTGCATATTAAACGAATATTGAAACAAATTAGATGGGCAGGAGTGTAACCAAAGTGTTCTTAGTCCGCCATGAAGCCGCAGAACGAGAGCACAC